CCTATAAACTCCAAGCCCTAAACCCCAAAACCCTAAACCCAAAACCCTAAACCTAAACCCTAAACCCCAAAACCCTAAATCCTACAATTAAACTCCAAGCCCTAAACCCCAAAACCCTAAACCCCAAAACCCTAAACCCTATAACCCCAAAACCCTAAACCCTATAAACTCCAAGCCCTAAACCCCAAAACCCTAAACCCCAAACCCTATAAACCCCAAAACCTAAAGCCTATAAACTCCAAGCCCTAAACCCCAAAACCCTATAAACCCTAAACCCCAAAACCCTAAACCCAAAACCCTAAACCCTATAAACCCCCAAAACCCTAAACCCCAAAACCCTAAACCCAAAACCCTAAACCCTATAAACCCCCAAAGCCCTAAACCCTAAATCCTATAATTAAACTCCAAAACCCTAAACCCAAAACCCTATAAACTCCAAGCCCTAAACCCCTAAACCCTAAACCCTAAACCCAAAACCCTAAACCCTATGAACCCCAAAACCCTAAACCCAAAACCCTATGAACCCCAAAACCCTAAACCCTCGCAACCCCAAAGCCCCGCCGGGCCGCTGAGGAGTCCAGGATGGCTCCTGGCAGAAGCTCGTGGAAGCCGAGGCTACGCGCGACCACTCGGTGATCAGTAGGCCTTCGGTACATTGAGGCAAGGTTTAGGGTTTTTGGGCTTGGGGTTTAGGGTTTATGGTTTAAGGTTTAGTGTTGTAGGTTTAGGATTCAAGGTTTAGGGTTTAGACTTTAGGGTATATATTTAACTGCTACAGAGTGGGGGCAGCGAGGGCTTCGGGTTTAGGGCAAAGTAGGCTTGGTAGGTAGGTTTGATTTTCGCACAAGCGTTTCGATCATTTTTCTCGGCTGCTGAGGGGGTAAGCCTAATGATTGAACAGAGTTTTGGGGTAAATGATACCTCAGGGCCTGAGTACCCTAGCCCAAAAAGGTTAACCTTTTGAATTATAGTAGGATTACATAACTATTACTGCATGGCTAGTAACTTGTGGGAGGAAATCATCCTCAAGAAACCTCGAAAGGCAGGTTGTTCAGGTGCAGGCAGACGCTTAGGGGATTTGAGCTTGGGCTGAGATTCAGGGCGGACCTGTTCTGGCTTTTCTGTGGTGGTCTGTGGTTTGGTTTTAGGGTCAGAGATTTTTGGCATCCATCTCCTCCTTGCGCCGCTCCCACAACTTCTCGATCTTCCGATCCCAGCACGGGTTAAACTCTCGTTTCTGTTGCCCCAAGTCGTGCCGATGCCCTGGCGTCTCCTTGCAGAATTCCCCCGCGCCCCCCCTCAATGTGTGCACCTTTCTTTTGTGCCCAGGGTCCTTGCCAGACAAATGCTCATTTCAATTTCAGGAATGGCCGCGATCTCTGTTGAATAAGAAAGACAGAAACAAATGCTCCGGTGGTTTCCACATAACAGAGACGAAAGCCCACATGCTACAGCTCGAAAGCCCTGAAGCAACGCAAGGCACAATCCCCCCCAGCTAGAACTCCAAGTACTTCAGACTGAGCTTCATTCGGAAAGCTACCCCAAACCAGAGAATGCCATGGGTTTATCTTGTGGATCCACTGAACCCACTACTTTTTTCATCTACAGCAGTTTGAAAGAATGATTTGGAAAACAGGTTGTGGAGCCCCTACACCCTAGGAAAGGGAATCAAACATGCTGAACCGGACATCCTAAACTCTGCCAGCCACGAATTCAAAACTCTAAAACCTAGCAGATATCGCTATGATCATATCCATAATACCGATAGTACTAAGAATACTATTTGTAACAATACTAATAACACTAATAATGCATCCTTTGGACTACATTAACCGCCATAAACCCTAAACCCGAATCTGCCGTCTCGCCTGAGCCTCCACCGTCGCAGACGTCCCCAAAGAAGAAGCGCGGTGGAACCTTGCTTCGGGTTTAGGGTTTAGAGTTTATGCCTCAAGGGGTTTGAGTTTTCAAGTTTAGAGTGTAGGATTTGCATGGGTGTTAAGATTTAGGTTTTACTTAAGCTTTGTGGCTTGGGTTTTTTGAGGCTTAGGGCTTAGGGTTCGTGACACGGTATAGGAGACATGGGACACTACTTTATTCCCTTATTCCCATTGCAGTCCGAGAGACATCCAGCTCAGATTCGAGGAGTCGCAGGAAGTTGATACCGCTCACGAAGCTGTTGTCCTCAGCGCGACCGAAATGCTGGAGTTTCGATGGGGCCTTAATGAGTAGAACAAGGTTTTGCGTTAGAGTTTTTCATATCCGTAGTACCCCAGGCATACTCTTAGTAGTTATTTAGGCTTCTATGGTGGGGAATTAGGGTCAAGGGGTTAGGACTGGTTTAGGGTTCAGGGGCTCCCGACTAGATTTTACAATGCGAGCGCATCCTGACTCATGACTAGAATAACTTGTTGATAATGCAAACCGGGTCTCAGAATCCCTTCCGGATTGTTAAGCTAGGTACCTGATGAAACGTCGAAGGTGTGGAGGCTAAGGACGTGGTAACTGACCCACGTCCCAAATCATAAAGGCAAGCAGAACCTAAAAACGACCGAAGCGACAGGAAATGGAAGCTGGGCGGTGGAGCACCCACAATCAGCTGTGAAATGACTTTGGAAGCCCAGGCTTTGATGCTACGCGATAAACCCTAAAGGCCCGAAGCCCCTAAATCGCCTTCCTCAAGACCCCATAGGCTTTACCTAGAATGTAATATAGGGGGCCTTAATAGTTAGAATAGGGTTTGGGGGCCTTTATACTATAACTATAATAAGGAACTCCGAAATAGTATTTAGGCCCCTATATTAGTGATTCACTCTTTGCAGCGTTACCTATTCTACGGGTGGGACCCTATAACGAGAAACTACAAGGTAACCAAGATGAGTACTAAACTCTAGGGCCTTGTAGGGTTTAAGGAACCCGAAACCCTTAAAAAAGTCTCGGACGCGGGCGTCAGACTTTGGTAAGTTGAGCCTTCCATAAGCTTGAGAATGCTAAACCCTACACTCAAACGCTTACCTCTGCCCGTCCTGGTTCACATGCAGCCTGTAAGTAGGGAATATGAACCCTCGTATACAAGCAGCCATTGATGGCAAGACTGAGGTCAAGGCCCTCTTGGGGTCCAGCGTTTTCCCATGGAATCCTTCAACAGCTGTCCTTCCAATCCCCGAAGACGAACCCGCAACAACATCTCAAAGACATGATCAGAACGCCCCAGACCCTAAACCTAAACCCTAAACCCGTGACACTAACAAGCGTGAACCCGAAACTCTCAAACCCTGAAGCAAAGCTCTTTACACCTACGCCCTACACCCCTAACCCCTAAACCCCTCACCCGACAACCATTAAAAATCATGCTGGGACCAGCACGCAGAGCTTGGATCGTAGAATTCCTCGCGGGGCAAACCCCTTAGAACGTCGTCTAACCCCTACAGTCTAGTCCCATATACGAGTTGCACTATAACCTCACTTTGACAACAGAAACATTTCATAAGCCTAAACCGTGAAACTCAACGACTCTCACCAAATCTTGACATATCCTCATTCAACCTAAATCTAAGTCCTAAAGCCCAGCCCCTCTTCCCGAAAACTCCGAAACTTAGGAGCATCTTGATTTATTTCAACAGGTACGTGTCAAAATAAAACCCGACCTCAAAACTCATGAATTCGAAATGCATTGCAACTGCTGATAACAAACATGAGGTGGTTTTAGAGGGACTCATCTAGTTTTAGAGGGGTTCATCTAGACATAGAGGCTTGAATAACTAGAACAGGGTTTTGGGGTGTAAAAATTCTACAAAAACTTAAGCACGGACTACAAAGGGAGTATGATTGCTAACTTTTCATTCCCCTACGCTATCAGCGCTCCCTGAGCCGGCCTGAACAGAAGTGCCGCCCTTCAAATACTGCGTCTTGGCTTCTATGCTCATGTAGGGTCCTTTATAATTAGAATAGGGTTTTGGGGCCCATTCTACTATAATCATCATAAGGAATCCCCCCCCCAAAAAAAAAAAAAAAGTATTGCTAATTATTTCGGCTCCTATATTATCGCACCTCGAACCCTGAACCCTCCACGCAGATTGAGTTGTGAAGGCTATGCCCAGGCCAGAGAAGCCTGACGAAAAAACCCTAGACCTTCGGAGTTCACTTGGATAGGGAACATGAGATGTAAGATGACTTTACAAATAACGCTGCCGCTTTGCATCCCCACCAACCAGACTACGGCCACTCTTTTTCAGAAGGACTTGAAGCTCGACAAGCCCCATGTCTTACTACCACCCCAAACCCCCAACCCTAATGATCTGAAGAACAGCGCCGGTGAAAAGACAAACCTGCTCAAGCAGGATGACTGGACTTTGAAGTAACCAGGCAGAAAAAGGTCTAGACTCTTCAGGCTTCGGGTTTAGAGTTTAGGGTGTTATGGTTCCTTTAAGGAACAGGCCCAAAGCAAAGTACTCCCAGAGAAAAAGAAGACAGTGCCGACCGGATGTGAGCCCGAACACCTCCATACCGTAAATGCAAAACTCAAAAGCCTTCAACATGCTGGACAAAGGCTTTGGGTATCCTAGAGCATAACTATAAAGGGGCTACAGGTAAACAAAGGGATAATACAATTATACTAGGTATCCTAGACCATAACTATAAAGGGGCTATAAACAAAAGGAATAATACTACTAGTTATACTACTAATTATACCCTAAGCCGCTTCATCTCAGAGCGGGTCCTTCGAGGCTCTTGGCTTGGGTGGAACCATCCTGGACAAGATGCACAATGGCGCCCGGGCTTTTTACACCGCCTAGCGCTTAGGGTTTAGGGCTTCAGGGTTTGAGAGTTTTAGGATTTAGGGTTTTGGGGTTTTAGGGTTTCGGGGTTTCGAGCCCATGAAGCCTGCAACACAAACCTATGGCTTCTACAGTGATGGTTGTCTTGTGGATTCTGCAGCGGCTATATGTAAGGGCTTATACACTACAGTTCTACAAGGGTGTGAAGAAGGGTTCTGCTAAATTACTGCGAGGGTTCCGGAAGGGTCTAACAGCTGAGATGTCTCACAACTCAACCCTGAAACCCTAATCCCTGAACCCTATAAACTTCAGCTTCTTCGTCGCCTGAAAAAAGTGCACGACCAAAAAGGGCGCATCGCGGGGAGGCGAGAAGACCACGTCAATCAACTGGCTGGCACCTCCAGGTTGAAGAGCAGGGGGAGGCGCTACTCCAAAGTCCAACCAAAATACTGGGGTTTGGGGTATAGAGTTCCCAGTACTTACATAGCCCCTTACGAATACGGGTACCCCTTTGTCTAGTGTCCGGCGTATTCACTGAAGTGTGATAGAGACTACAAGCAAGTCATACTCTGAACCCTGATTCACAGCCGCGCCTTCTACGAGGACCATCAAAACTAAAACTCTGTAACACTCCTGAAGCCCAAAACGATAAAACATAAAAGCGCAAGACATGAACTGCCCACACCAGGACCCTAAGCATTGTATCTTTGTTATCCTTGTCAAGGGAAGGGGTTTGTCAAACGATGCCCGAAAGCCTCAGACTCTAAGCCTTAGTCCCAACACTGGCCTAAAGCCCCAAATTATCCGAAAGTAGCTCAAGAACCCGTCTGGACGGCTTGGGATGACACGGTTTTGGTTGAGGGTTTAGGGGGCAGGCTACAATCACAGTGATGCATGGGGGCTGCAACGAAACAGCGAACTTTTCCGTTGGTTTACGTTTGGGAGAAGCCTTTCACTGAGTGTGGGTTTAGCTGCTCAGAGGTGCGAGAGGCGAACAGGATTTAGGATTCAAGGATGTCGAGGCATTCTAAACTAAGCATCGTGTTGCTGCGCCTGTGCGAAGCCCGATATTGCCATCATCAGGACACCTACCAAGAAAACGTGCTTTTGAACGATGCACCGTTTCGCGATGTTGCAAAGGTCATGTAGTTGTTGCAGTTCATGGAGTGCGATGCGCAGCCTCCCTGAACCTAAATCCTAAAACCCCGCCCCCATTCTGTCCATTGCGGTGGCGACAGTTCTTGGTAAACCTTAAACTGCGACGACCAAGCCCCTGCTCCCAACAGCTTTGGGACTTTCGCAACACGTCCGGTGATCACCGGACTTTGGACCCTGAGCCCCAAAGCAAAAATCTTGAACACCGCACATGCCCTCAGACCTGAGCCCTAATGCCCAAGACCTAGCTAATCCTCTACACGAATTCTCTACACGCCTAAACCCCTAAATCTAAAGCTTAAGCCCAAAACCCCAAAACCTAAGCCTTAAATCCCACATCAGGATCCCTTAAAGGGCGCTTAACCCCAAACCCTACAGCCGTCAAAAATACGGCGTCATCTGCCTCCCCGTGCTACCGGTCGAGTCGCCAATATCTCGGAGACGACGACGCCCTGCGTGCAAGTGGCGATTTGGGATCGGGACGGTTTGGGGGGAGCCTACCCCAAGGATCCATGTACCCAAATAGTATTTACTTTGGCATTAAAGTAATACCTATAGATGTACTTTGGGGCCAAAGTATATACTACAGTATTTGGGCACATGGACCCTTAGGGCTACTTACAACACGCAACTCTCCGGGCTTTCACTACAAAGCTTGTACTGTAGGGGCCTCCATAATTAGAATAGGGTTTTGGGCCCCCTTATAACTTCTGATAAGGAACCCCGAAACAATACAGGCAACTATTCAGGCCCTTACAGTACATGTCTCAGAACGAATCATAAGACTTTTCAGCAAGTTACGATCGGATGGAGTGACTGAGGCCTTTGGGGTTTGAAGGTTAGTGCTTTGCGGTAACCCTAAACCCTAAACCTTAACCGTGGTTCAGTAGTTTAGAGGTTTGAGGGTTTCAGGGCGTCAGCGTTGGGCATGCGGCCTTTGGTTGCGTTCGGGGGGACAGTTCGTTGCAAGTAGACCTTACCCTGAAGCTTAAACTTTGAATCGACGAGCGAAAGCTTTGCCAACAAGTTGTTTTTACCATGCGGCCTTGTTTTACCGCAAGTACAGCAGGCAGCCATAAGCTGCATGGAAACAAACCATAGGGTTTAGGGTTTAGGGTTTGCGTTTTTTTATAACGCAATAGGCTCTGACTCTGACTCTCGCGGGGTTTAGGGTTTAGGGTTCAGGCCGGGGAAACAGAGACATGTCCAATGCAAAACCTTCAAATTCAGCCCTAAACTAGTTCATGGTTGGGGTAGTATTAAAAATTTAAATTTATATTCCTTATTGGGCTTAAGTACCCTTAAAAATGTAAAATGTTACCCAACCATGACAAAAAGTAAAAAAGAAACTTGCGAGATGTTCGAGCTCCCAAGGCCCTAACTCCTAGCCCCAAGCCCTTCAAACCCCGAACCCTGAAACGGTTTAGGGTTTAGGGTTTAGGGTTTAGGGTTTAGGGTTTAGGGCCCTAAACCCTGAAACTCTAAAGCTCCCAAACCCGAACCCTAAAGCCTGAAACTCTAAAGCTCCAAAAACCGTACCCTGAACCTTGAGACCTGAAAGACCGACAAGCCATAAGCCCACCTTTAACCTAGGAGTTAGGATTAGGGGGACTCTTGGGGATGTAGACCCTTCAATAAGGTCCCTTCTAAGAAAGCCAGTAGTTGGGCTAAGAAGGGTCCGCTTTAAGGGGTCTCCCTAATACTACCTAGGATAACCCTCTAAGTGATTGCAACCATTGTTGAGAGACAGCTTTGAGGGAGGGTCTGTGTATACCCTGTAAGTATGATTTTGAGGAGCGTACGGTTTGGGGCTAGGGGGTTTAAGATTAAGGGCTTAGGGTTCAAACGTCTAGGGTCAGCATAAGTATCAGTATGGTTTGTGGCTTAGGGTGTTCTATCAGCTGCCTTGACCAGAAACAAGAAATCTGCTAGGTGGTTCGATATATTATGTTCCAAAAATGACAAGGGTTCCCAAGGAACACCTAGTTTTCAGAGTTTCGGGTGTCGGCTTATTTGCCGTTAGGGCTTCAGCGTTCTACTGGTTACGACAAACATAAGTATGAGTACTTATGCTCGAAATTTGCGTACTTCCAGCCCCACCAAAAACTACCCGTGGCCATGGGTCTTTACGTAGTGCAGGCTCGACAGAAAGCAAAGCCTCGCAATTAGGCCCGAAGGTTTTTCACAGTAGCAGTGTATTGAGGCCAAAATCCCAAGTCCTAATCCACGCTAAAATAATCAAACGAAATCTCTTGAACCCAAAATCTGACGTGTAAACTCGCAAGACCCTTCACCTAGCCTGAAAACACTCCCTGAAACCCCGTTTCACTTTTCCATGCCTAGAAAACTCGCACAATTGCAGAACTTTTGGGGACCCCAATTTTTCCTAAACCCTAAACCTGAACCCTAAACCCTGAACGCTCAACCCTAAACATCCCTACACAGTTCCCTAAACCTTGAACCCTAAATCCTAAACCTTATAAACCCTAAATCCTAAACATCCCTAAAACCTAAACCCTTGAGCCGCCTCCGGCAGCGTCCGGGCTCTCTGAAGTGCTCGGGTGAGCCACTGGGCGCCGAGGTGGCAAAGCTCCGCCACCGACCGGGGCAAAGCGAGACGAAAGAAAAGACCTCCAGGGTTTAGGGTTTAGGGGTTTTTCGGTTTACCTCCTGCTTTTAAGGTTTAAGGTTTAGGGGTTTAGGGTTGAGGATTCTAGGCCCCCTGTTGAATCATGGTTTCGGGAGGTTGTTGCTGAAACGGCTTCCCGCCCCCTTTCGAGTTTTCTGGGGTTTACGTGGGCGTTCGGCTTCGGAGTTTAGGGATCGTACCGTTGGGGAAACTGAACAGGCGGCCTATGTCAAAGAAGTAGGTTTAGGGTTTAGGGTTTAGGGGCTACTCAACAACAAGTGGGACACCTTCTCCCGTGTTGGTGATGTGGACAGCACTATCAAACTAATAACAGAACATAAGTACCGAACACTCAACTCCTACACTAAGGTTCAAGGGGTTTCCATTGTCAGAGCCCGGGGCTGAAGAGTAAGGCAATACCTAAAAGACAAGATAACGCGTGGCTTCGAAACCTCAAGGGATCATAAGAGCTGCTGGGTGCGACATATTAAGGAATATACCTGCCTAATTTATAGTAGGACCCCTATTATGATGTAAGGCATATTTCCTAATTAAGGGATTTTGGAAGGTGGAAACGCAGAGACCTCGAGATCGCGCTCAAACACAAGCAAACACAAGATCTGCGTCACCCCGAACCCACAGCTGGCTACCAAACTAAACAACCATAAACTCTATAGACCACACACACTTAAAACCTATCGAAAAGCATGCATGCATGCATGCATGCATGCATGCATGCATGCCTGTATGCATGCGTAAATGTATGTATGAATGAACTGACGGATGGATGGATGGATGGATGGATGGATGGATGGATGGATGGATGGATGGATGGACGTACACCGGTATCTATGTATAAACATGCGTATATATATATATATATATATATATATATGTCACCCACACACACACACACACACATCCGGGTACCCATTTTGGGGTTCCTTCGAAGTCCCGCCTGTTGGGCCTTGCCGCTGGCGTATGAAGCTGCTCCTGTCGCGCTCGAAGGCGCAGCGCTTCGAAACCTTTCGGGGCGCTTTGCTGCTTGGAAGGTGCTGAGGGCACTGTGAGGGTTGGTGGGGGCTCAAGCTTCGAACCAGGTCATTTAGGGGCTTAGACTTAACTAGGGTTTCAGAAGAGATGAACATGGTTGGAAGAGTTGGTTGTAGGGTTTTGCGAAGGCTTTGGTTGATTCGAATTGAAGGGCTTCCGTAAGGGTTTAGGTGTTGAGGGCTTCAATCAGTGATTTGCAACCTTTGCCAAGAAGCCCGGAGCCATTTACGTTTCACAGTTTGCCAGGGTTCTATTGGGTTTTGCATGATTGTATCAAAGTTTTACTCTATGGGCATTCTACCAAGAGTCCTGTAAAATCCACTTGCATCCCTAGACCCTAAACCCCAAACCCCGAAACCCCGAAACCCTAAACTCCCTCCGCGGCTCACCCTTTAGCACCACAAAGCTAAGTCTCTTAGGGCCTTCCCTTCAGGCTTCACGGGTCCATGTGCCCAAAACAGTCTATACTTTGGCCCCGAAGTACCTACATGGGGACTACTTTAAGGCCAATATACTATTTGGGCACGCGGACCCTTGAAGGAACCCTTAAAGGAGACCGTACAGGAACCCTCAAGGAACCCAAACCCTAAAGCCAAAACCCTAAAGCCTAAACCCTAACGCCGAAACCCTCAAGCCTAAAGCCTAAACCCTAAAGCCTAAAGCCTTTCAAGGTACGTGGACCCTTTGGGGTCTATTGCCTGGAAGGAGGACGATTTCCAAGGGTTCCATTTCGGGTTGAAGTTCAAGGCTTCAGGTTTGGGTTTCAGGTATCGGTTTCGGGTTCAGGATTTCAGGTTTAGGGTTTAGAGTTTCGGGTTCAGGATTCCAGGTTTCGGGTTTAGGGTTTCAGCTTTCGGGTTTAGGGCTGGATTGCGAAATTCACAGGCTGGAAAAGCCTCCGAGTTCCGAGCAGCTACACCCCGAACCAAGAAACCCCAAATCCCTAAATCCGCACCCTAAACCTTAAACCCTAAACCACAACCCCGGAGACGAAGAGCGCCCTCCATCTCCTGACTCTGAGTGCATGTTCACACAGACGCACGATTGGCAAACAGTTTAGGGTTTAGGGTGTCGGGTGAGTTTCTGAACTGATGTCGAAAAGCCTCAACCCGAACCATCCTGACATGGCGCCTCACAGTCGAAAGCCTCTTCAGTCGGAGAGTGGACATATTCTGAACCCTAAACAGAAGCCCTGTAGACCCTAAACCCAAACCCCTTGAATCCTATAAGCATAATCTATCCCCGGATACCCTAAACAGAAGCCCTGTAGACCCTAAACCCAAACCCCTTGAACCCTATAAGCATAATCTATCCCCGGATACCCTAAACAGAAGCCCTGTAGACCCTAAACCCTTACCGCTTGAACCCTATAAGCATAATCTATCCCTGATAGTCCCTTGTCGCCTCTGTTTGTACGCACGCCGTGAGATCTTCCTTATCCGATGGCTGCTGCTCCCGCTCCGCGGCATCAAGGGCCGAGAAGTCGATGAAGCAAGAGGCCTGACCCAGTAACTACATGGCGGGGTCCAACTACATGAGTCGTTCGCTAATCTAGGGTCCCTTTTAGGGTCCTTTTTAAACGGGTGCCGCACTATTAAAATTAAAAAAGGAACCTAATTCAGAGAACTACCCATATACTATAGGAACACTCGCCTCTGCTATGTAGGTACTTAGGACCCTTTCGGTGATTCATGACTTAGGCTTTACAGGCTTCTGCCACATTTTCAGATGTATTGGGTTCTATAGGTATGAGTTAGGATTAGGGAGACCCTTGGTGATATAGACCCTCTCAATACGGCGCCTTTTAAGAGAGCCACAAGTAGGGTGAAGAAATATCTCCTTTAAGGGGTCTCCCTTATACTACCTTGGAATAGGGCTCTGCAGGGGATTTGTCGGGTCTGATTGGGTTCTATAGGCTTCTTGATTATATTGTTTGTGCAAAGGTCTTGGGGTACGACCCTTAAAGGAACCCTTGAAGGACACTTAAACGAACCCATAAAGGATGCCTCAAAGGAACCCTTGAAGGAACCCTTGAAGGAACCCTTACAGGAAAGCATAAAGGATACCTTAAAGGATCCCTTAGAGGAACCCTTAAAGGAACCCTCAAAGGAAACCTTAAAGGATCCCTAGTAGGGCTGAGGGCTTAAAGGGTTCAGGCTGGGGGCGAAGGACCTGGCTGGGGATGTTGACTCTTTTCTTCCATACAACCGGGCCCACAAAAAGCTCAAACTTTCCATTATAGACCGAATACGCTGTAGGGCCAATTTTTGTTCCAAGTTTAGGGTTGTAAACACCGAAGTTCCAACTCCTTGCCTGTATATCGGGTGACCATTCGCTGCAAACCATCATCATCCGAAACATCGCCCAAGACCTGTAAGGAACGCACTATCCCTGGAATGCACATGGTTCCTGCAACTGGAAGACTAGTTGGCAACCTCTGCCCTTAATCCACTAGTCTAACCCTCGAACAATGAACCCATAAACCCGAAGGCTAAACCCTAAAACCCCAAACCCAAAAGCCCCTAACCCTAAACACTAAACCCTAAACCCTAAACCCTAAAACCCTAAACCCAAAAGCCCCTAACAACCCTTCCCACGGCGAGGCCTCCGCATCACGCTGTGCAGCTGCAGCCTCCTCCCAACCGTGGCTTCGAAGGTTTAGGGCTTATACATACCTTGAACTACCATAACCTACTTTTTTGTAGGTCCTTATTATAAGCCCTAATATAGAATTTATAGGGACCCTACAAAAAAGTAGGCTTTGGTAGTTTAAGGTAGGGCTTTAGGGCTTATAGGGGCTTCGTTTTGACTCAAGACTAAGCCCCTATAAGCCCTAAAGCCCTATGTATAAGCCCTAAACCCTCGAAGCCACGGTTGGGAGGAGTTTTGAGCTTACTCAAAAAACGGCTCGACCTCACACAACCCACGTGATGGGCAGGGGTTGCGCCTCAACTCTAGACCCCCAACTCCTAAACCTAAACCCCTGAACCCTGAATCCAAAGCCCGCCACCCACCCGCACTTCCAAATTCCGAGAGTGCTCCGATCAAGAGTTGAGTCCTGCTCGTCCAATTCGTCGAAGGCAAACATCTACCGATCATCCATGGAAACGCCATGAGTTGCGGACTGTAGTCTATGGGTTAGAATTTGGAGGTATAGGGGTTTTGACTGTAAGGGTTTTTGCTTGAGCAGTTCACGTTGTAGGAATTCAGCTAGATAATCGGTTTTGTCACCGGTTGGTCTGGGTCCACAGCCTTTTCGTCTCTGTTTCTGTGCTGAATATTCTGTGGCTTCAGGCGGTTGCGGGGTTGAGGCTTCGTGGGTTCACGGCTTCAGGTTGATGATTGTTCGGGTGATAAGCTGCTCAGAAGATGTATGAACCTCTTAGGGTTTATAAGCCCTGCTAAGGCTTGAGCGCTTCGACGCTACTTGGGGGCTTCTCGGAGTTCCGGCTCTGCATGTGCTTTTTGAAGACTCGGCGGTCTTTGCGCCTGGGACCAGATGCGTTCAGTGCAGGCAACATTCAATCGACCTTGGTGTTAAGTAGCCGCAGCTCAACGGCGACATTGACTCCCACCGGCCACGCATCATCTTCTTAATCACGAGGCGAACCTCCCATGCACGTCTCAGTGCTGAATTCGGCGAGAGCGCGCGGTCCTCGGATAAAACTTAAGACAGGGAGCTTAACAATTAGAATAGGGTTTGGGGGTATATTCTACTATATAACTATAATAAGGAGCCCCCGAAGCCCTATTCTAATTATTAAGGCCCCTACATTACCACAAGCGCAAGGCATCGGATCTAGACCAATGCTACGCGAATCTGCCTGAGCTCGAAAGAAACACCTCCAAAGATCGTTGGAGCTCAAAATGTCCGGATTGCTCGGAATGAGACATACCTCCCCTCAAAGGCTACGTTCAGAAAGGGGCACCGACTCTAGTAGCAGCCCCGATTTGAAGTGGGGACTCACATTTGCCAATCGTCCCTGTAGGCCTTAACCCTCACGCCCCCAAACAAACTCTGATGAGACCACCACAACCTGTCGAGTGAATTCGAAGAGAGCACATACCCAGGCTCCCCAAGGGCAGAAGTTGCTCAGCGCTTAAGGATTCAATTTAGGGGTGTTGCGTTGAACTTGTGTACTGCCCCCACACCTTGTAGCAGTCTAGATTAGGGGTCATAGCCGGGGCTCTATATATATAAATATAACTAGATCATAACCAGGATTTCTGGGATCAACATTAGAATAGGGTTAGGGTGTATATATAGTATACTAAAAATGTAATACGGAACGCCACCCAGAAAAATAAAATAAAATAGGTAATTAATCATTAATGCCCCAATATCAAGTTTCATGCATTTCTCAGGGATGAGGGGCGTTTCAAACTGTCTGTTTTGGGGGCCTTCGGACCCTGATCTCGAATGTCCCGAACATTAAAGCTCTCCATGCCAAGTCCGCCTCATCTTTAGGTAGGGTTTAGGGTGTAGGGTTTAGGGTTCAGGGCTAGCGGCTATACGGGTAAAGGGTTTAGGGCTCAGGGTTAGATAGAATCAGAGCGCTCTGCTTAAAACTGAACCCTTCGCGCACTCATACTCTAGAAACTAAACGGCGACACCCTCTAAAAAAAATCCAAACAACTCTGAACCCTAAAGCCTGCATCCTCCAGCATCCATTCCAGTTGAGATTTTAGGAAACAGAAAGAAGTAGCCGATACTTGTTCCCAAAAAACCTCACATCCGACTACGCTGTAAACTCTGAACCACACAGTATGAGACCCAATACCCGAAACCCTAAACCCTAATTTAGAATCATGTTTAATATAGACCCTCCCTCGACACAGTATGCTAGTCCCAGGCCCGGAGTTCCAAGATGCCAGACACCCCTTTATGAATTCTAGGGTTCAGGGGTTTAGGGTTTAGGGTTTGGGTTTAGGGCTCTAGGGTTTGGGGTTTAGGGTTCAGGGGTTTAGGGTTCAGGGGTTTAGGGTTTCGGGCTTTAGGGCTTGCCGCTACATTTTCCAAAGATCAATAACGTTTTCGGTTTAGGGGAATCAGACGAGGTTGGAAGTCTGAAAACCTGAGCGCCCAGCTATGCCA